TTTAATTTTTGCATTAGCGTGAGACCAGAAACACTAAACTGATCTTTGGTACAAAACTTGCACAATTTAACTCTATCAAGCAATGTAAACCTGGTAGCTTAACCGGCTCTCTAAAACGAAAAAAGATATATCTCTGAGATCGCTCAGAATAAACAGACGATTATTCCAAATTACTCAGAAGGGACGAGGCTGTAACATCGTATACTTTTTTCTGGGGTACCTGTAAAAGGCGTTTGTTTTATTTTTATGCTTTGTTATAACACAAATTTAATCCCAGAATGAAGCTACAATTTTCTTTAAAAATATTCAAACCGGATCGCCGAGTCAGAAAATATTCGCTGTGAAAAGTTAGGAAATATTTAAACCATACCTAAAAAATACCGCAATGTACATTAAACGTCGAAATTTTGCAAACATTACCATTTATTGCGGAAATTTCAGGATTTAGGTGTAGGGATCATATGCATTTTTATAAGGAAGGTCTCATTGAAAGTATCAAAGTTGTAGGCATTTTTCTTAATTGGACTGAAAATATTTCGGGTTGATAGAGCAAATTCGAGCACTAAGTCATACAAAATTTCCCTGCAAAAATATACAAATATTTTCTTTCCATACTAATAATGCTTCCTACTTTTTGTTTTAACTATTCGATAATGAAACGGACATTAATGCAACTTCCACATTTCGGAAATATTAGGCATGTTTTTGCGGTAATTCGTTCCCACATCGCTATTTGTCATTTTTCAGGCAAACTTTTTACCAGGCCCGAGATTATTCTCCTCGCTTTCGTTATACAATGGCGGAAAATGGAAGGAAAAACTTAGATGGAATGGGATATCTCGTTTCGGTCTTGTGTCAAAATAACTTTGTTTCATAAATCTTGGATGCGGAGCTTTGTATATTCCATCAGGCTTTTTTCCGCCCCTCGTTTCGACCACTTTCGAATCGAAATGGAATATGGACAAGAAGTTCGTTGTTCTTCTTGTACACGAAGCCGTATTGTCGTTTTTTTATTTAGGTAAACTTGTGAGTGATTTTTAATGTGAAAATTATGTTTGCTACTGGGCTGCGAAGAATCCAGTCGCCATCGAGCATGATTTATTCATTCAAAGTGTCTGAAAACCGGCAAACATTCAATTCCAGATAGCTGTTGTTTTCCTCGAAAATATTAATATCTTCAAACCGCCTTTTTATCCAGGATTTTCCATCCCGGAAATCCAGCGATGATATAGTGCCTTCGTTTCCCATTCAGGGAATACGCACACAACATCGACGCTTATATAGCGTCCTTCCTCTAGCGCTCCTGATTTATGGCCGTTCCAGGATTACCGCAGGGCCACAGCCATTGTTTTATTCCTGACACTTCCACTTTTTCCATTGTGGAAATTGGAACTTTTCCATTTTTGAGTCGCAATGGTTTTGCTTAATACAAACCGGTAGCATGAATAAATCGACCGCGAACGTGAATAAAAGCAAATAGATTCAAACATATGCACATAAAAGTATCAAACGATTTGAAGAAATGAGGAGCAGAAAAAGGAGGCGACGCAAGAAAAGAACATAACTATAAAGCATAGCTGTTAAATGGTCATTAGATACAATTAACATCATCCGGAATTTCGCGACGCACATTCGATTCTCATAAACTACATTGATTTGTTAATGTGGAAGCACTTTTTCCCAGTAAATAATATCGCAAAAAGTTGCACGATTTGTGCTAGTTACTGTCGCATCTCCATAATGGCCGCCGTCTTCTCAACCATGAATATTAACGAAGATTTCCATTAATTAAAACCTTCCAAGAAAAACAGCTGCCGTTTCAGCTACCAGCGAATATCAACCGAAAATCACAATCGAATTAAAATGCACGATTATGAATCGGTTATTCTGCTCATTTACGGCTGTTTTTTACGCCATGTTATCGATGGCATCGTCGATTTTTTCCAAAAAGCGGCTCTTTACACAGATATTTGCCAATTCGACCGCAACGAACTTAAAACGGAAATAATCTTTAAAAATTACATTTCTGTTTCTTCAATTCATTACAATTTTAATTAATTATTGAGTGTCCAGCAATGAATGGGCAATTTCCAATCGCTTTCAACTATCCGTTGAACTTAATTTAACGGGATTTATCTAGTTTATCTATGCCAGATCAGGGCGAGGTTGAGATTTTTTTTTGAACAATTCCGATATGGAATGGGTTTTTAAATCAGTGTGTTTAAATAAATAAAAGTGGCAAAAAAGCACGCAAAGCGACTGTTTTCGGTAGTTTTAGTTCGCGGGTTCGAATCAACGATCTGAATTAACGCGAAAATTTAAAAAATTGCAGAAACTAAACAAATCTGTTAATTGATTAAAATTTGTTCCAGTTGATCGACAGGGTCCAGTGAACAACTGCGCAAAATTTCAGTTTTAAGTCTGCCGAAGTGTGCAAGTTGTGCGTGTTTTTTGCATAGCCCTGCACATTATGAATAATCGCCGAACTTTAAACAGTTACGGAACCTGAATAAATGGTTCAAATCAATTCAGTTTTATAACACCTTATCTCTAGGGCTACGTGAATAACTGTGAAAAATTAAAGAATTATAACTGCTCAAGTTTGTAGTTGTGATTTTTTTGCAAATTCCTGCACCTTTGCATTGTTTTGAAAAATTATCGCGAATTTTTTTATATTTCCAGGAACTGAATAAATGTTGCAAATCGATTGAAATGTTGGCCACTTTATTACTAAAGTCTGTATAGTAGCGTAGCGCTATGCAAAACAAGTGAATTTTTTGCATAGCGCTACGCGTTTGGAGCTTTGGGATGAATTAATGCAAATTTGAAAATATTTTTAGAAACTGAATAAATACTGCAAATCGATTCAAATTTAACGCGATTTATTGCTAGGGCTTTCTTAATAACTTGTCAAATTTCCATCCTTACGTCTGGTGAAGTTTGTAAGTTGTAATTTTTTTCCTACAGGCTTGCACGGTCAAAACTACATTATGGTTTATCGCAAAATTTTAAAGATTTCCACAAACTGAAAGCTTTTGGTGAACCGGTTAAAGTTGTGGACATAATTGCTAAGGTTTTGTGAACAACTGTGCAAAATATCAGCCTCAACTTTGCTGGAGTTTGTGAGTTCTGATTTATTTTGCACAGCTCTGCACATTTGGATCTTTTTCAGGAACTGAAAGATTTAAAACTGTTAAAATTGTGGGCAGTTAATAACTGAGGCTTTGTGAACAACTGTCGAAATTTGCAGCTTTAAATTTTCCGAACTTTGTGAGTTGTGATTTTTTTGCTCAGCCCTGCACGTTTGGAATCTTTCTATTCATTTTCGTAAAATAGTTCTTATTTGCAGAAACTTACTGAGTCCTGCAAATCGATCGAAATGTTTCACATTTTATTACTAAGAGTTTGTAAACAATTGTGGTAAATTGCAGCCTTGCCGCTTCTGACGATTGGGAGTTGTGAATTTTTCCCAACACCCCTGCACATTTGAAACGTTTTGATTACTTATAGCGAACTTTCCGAAGTTTGCACAATTTGAAACAAGCCTGCAAATCAATCGAATTTCTGTACAGTAAATAACTGAGGCCTTGTGAGCCACTAAATTTGCAGCTTTAAGTTTTCTGAAGGTTGTGAGTTGTGATTTTTTTGCACATGACTGTACGTTTGAAATTTTTGATGAATTATCGCAAAATTTAAGAAAAATAGCTGAATAAAACCTGCGAATCGACTGAAATTATTGACTTTTTTCTGCGAAAGCTTTGTGAACAACTGTTAAAAAATGCACTGTTAATTCAGGCAGTTTGTGAGTTGAGAATTTTTTTCCACAGCCCTGCACCAAACTGTTTTATGAACAAACTCGGATATTTAAAAATGTGTAGAAACTGAACAAGTGCTTCAAATCTAATACATGTTTAGACACTTAATTACTAAGCTTTTGCGAACAATTGTTGAAAATTGCAGGCTTAAATTTTTCGAAGTTTGTGAGTTTTGATTTATTAACCACAACTTTTTGTGAATCGTCGCAAAATTTTAAATGTTTTCAGGAAATGAATGCATCCATCGAATACATGTACTATAACATCAATTTTAATTAGATTTAGGCGAATTTAAACAGTTGAAATGTTCAGGCAAAGTGCGTTCATCTGCTTTAAAACGAAGGAAGCGAATTTCAGCTCTTTTAATCTTCTTCGTTGTTCAATTGCTCTTTTTCTTTGCGAATCAGATCAAATTCACCACTGCTTTCAAGATCCATAGAAGACCGTAATAGTATTAAAAACTTTTTTGGAAAAACCATCCTTTTAAGCTCTATTTATTCTATTCTAAATGGGCTTTACAATACAGCTACTCAGTTTAATTCCGTACAATAGGTTTGGCACACTTCTCGGCTCTGTATAGAATAGATGAAAAACCAAATCAAATTGAATAGCATATTTTCCTCGTTAATACTGCTGACTTGTAGTAGAAAAACCGTGGCCTGAGATGGATATACGCAAAGATAATGCTGTTTTTTTGTGGTGAGCTTTTAAACAAGCTACTTAGCAGACCATGTAGGATCTAAGAGGCCATAAAATTTTATGAATGAATATGCTGCGAGATATGGCAGTTTAGATACTACGTTGTGGAACGTGGGAAAACGAGATGAACACGTTAAAGAAAATGCGATTGATGAGCGTAGTAAAACTGCATTAATTTGATTTAATCGCAAATTGGCATCTTTTATAGGCAAAATGTCCGATTGGAATGAAGCAGTAACGCACAAGCATCGATTGTTTCTAATTGTCTTCGCTGCCAGTCTTGTTTTCATACTTTCATCTAACCTACCAAACCGCAAGTCTATTTGAATCCAATTTGCAAAAATCAATCTCAATTTTCAAGCGATTCGAACCGAAAAAAAACGACCATCTCGCTTTACTTTAGTTTGACGCTAATAGATCATTCATTCGAACCGTTATTGAATTGGTTACATCAAATTATTTTAAATTGCATTATGGGATACCTACTTGTTTCTAAACAACTCTTCTGCCTTCCAGTCGACTCTACTTGAATACGTAATGATGCATGAATAATTCGATGATTGTATTTAAATATAGCTAGAAGCTGTTTTAATCTTGGTGGCATAAAAAGGTGCATCTGCTGCTCGGGTGATTAGTACTGCGTCTCATTTGTTTGCAGTTAAGTCTCCTGATTTGGGTCTTGGTTACCTCTTCTTCATCCAACGACCGAAAGTGTCTAAAAAACAGCAATTATTTCACTAGTCAAGATAAACAATGGACTAAATATTTTCTTTGACATGAGGTCTGGAGCGCGGCTGAAGATTTTTAGTTGCAAAAGCACGTAAAATTTGCCCCCAAGCACGCTTAATCTGACTAAAATCGAATGAGCGGTTTGGAAGTTATAGCTAATTAGTTAGTGTGGTTTCTCGCCTCCTTGGAAGCAAAATGTCATGTTTTCAAAGAATTTGCAGGACTTTTCAAACCCATCTTTAAAAGAACACTAGCAATAATTTTCTCTATTCGAGTATTTATGTTATTGTTTTATCTTCTTACCCCGAATTTGTATCCTAAATATTGCCGACAAAATTTTAAAATTTTCAGAAGCTGCATAATATTGGCGATTGAACTATATTTTGCACACATAATTACTAAGGCCTTGTGAACAACTGTCCAAAATTCCAATTTTCAATCAGTTGAACTTTGCAAGTTGTGGGTTTGTTTACGGCACGTTTGCATGTTTCAAACTTTCTGGAAATTTTGAAAATTTGAAAATTTCCAGAAATTCGATACATTCTGTGATTTGAACAAAATTCCGATCATTTAGTCCCAAAAGCCTTGTAAAAAACTGTTAAAAACTGCAGCCTTGACGCTGCCCAAAATTCTGAGTTGTAAATTTTCAAACACAGACGTGCATATTTGAAACTGTCGTCTGAATTAGACCGGAATTTCAATCGGCTGCAGAAATTGAGAATGGGCTTTCTATACAAGAAAATTTACTCACGCTGACTACTACGGCGTTTTCTCAAAACGGTGAAATTTCAGTAACAAATCTAAACTGGTTTGCGAGTTACACATTTTTCATTCAAAAGATTTAAGGAAATTAGCAAGAGCGTAAATCAATCAATTGATTGTTTACTGTCTTTAACGAAGGCTTTTACTACCAATATCCAAAATTTTAACCTGTGATCTCCGGTTTGCAATTTGTAAATTTTTAATCACTGGCGGGCCTGTTTGTAACTGCCACCTGAATTAGACTGCATTTTCGAAACCCTGCAGGATCCGAACGACGACCGGAAATTAAATGAAATTTAGTCACCTCGATAACCGATGCTTTGTCTCTAAATACGCAGGATTACGACCGAAAACCTGCATCGCTTTGCGAGTTTGTGGCACATTTTTAAACACTCACGTGTGCGCGAGGGGCATTTTCTGAATTACAACCGATTCAAAAAATTCCATAAATTGAGTTGGGGCTGAAATCAATTGAGCTTTTCAAGCCGTACTCACTAAGGCTTCTGCTATAAATACTCGAAATTGCAGCCTTGAGTCTGTTCCAGTTGTCATAATTGATTTTTTTACCATCGGCATACATATTTGAAACTGTCGTCAGAATTAGACCAGACTTTCAAAATGCCGCAGAAACTGGGCGAAAGATGGCAATCCAATAAAATTTCAGTAGGTACCTTAATAACTAGAGTATTTTTTTCAAAACGCTGAAAATTCCAGCAGCAAATATAAATTGGTGTGCGAGTTTGTCATTTTTAGGCGCACGCGAGCACGTTTGAGCCAATTTTCTGAATTCCATTGAAAAATTTCCAAAAAATCAGTAAGAGCTGAAAATCAATCGAGTTTTTACTGCCTTAATAACAAAGGCATTTGGCTACAAATATGCAAAATTGCAGCCTTTAGTCCCTATCCGTTTGCAAGTTACGAATTTTTCATCTCAGGCGTGCATGTTTGCAATTGTTACCTGGATTAGACCGTATTTTCAAAACTGTAGAAACCGACTAAGGTTCGAAAATGCAATGAAATTTACCGTTCTCAATGGCCAATGCTTTGTGTTTAAATGTTAAGAGTTAAAACGAAAGATCTGTTTCGGTGTGTGAGGTTGGGGCCCATTTTCAAGCACAGCCGTGTATGAGGCAATTTTCTGACTTACAACGGATTTTAAAAATTCTGGAAACTTACTAGGCGCTGAAAATCGATCGAACTTTTACAGTGTTAAAGACTAAGGCTCGTTCTATAAATATGCAAAATTCTAGATTTTAGTGGCGTCTCGTTTGTTAATTTTTTACCGCAGGCGCGTCACCTGAATCCTGAATTTTACCGAGATTTCCAAATATTACCGAAACTGACTGAGTGTTGAAAATTCAATAAACTTTCGTCCGCTCAATATCGGAAGCGTCTTCTACAAATGTGTAACATTTTAGCTTTAAATCTGCCCCCATTTGCAAGTTGTGATTTTTTAACCACAACCGTGCCTTTAACATTTAAATTCTCATACTTTTGATAAAATGTTCAAACAAATAACTCAAGCTCCTGTGGTTACAACCTCATGGAACCTTATTAAATCGAAAATATGTTCAAACAAAGCGAACATCCGTTTCCGTTAATTTTATGAATAAAAACCATTATTTAAATTGGTTTATCGGCAATTTGGAATATCCCACATTGGTGGGTGATTTCAATGAGGGATCGGATCAATTTTAATAATGTTTCCAAGAATTCTATTAAACCCCACTTACTTAGCCGATTTCAAACGGTAAAGGTTTTTGCAATATATCGAAAGCATACACATCTTCAGGCCGTTGGCTGATTATCTGAAAAACAATTTGCATTAAACTGATATTGGCATGGATAATGTGCGTATAATGTAATATGGTTTAGAGTGGCTACTTTGCAAAACGAACTCCTATTTAACACCTTGTAGTCGAGGTGAAAAAACCCGATCATTCTTGCAACGTAAGGGATTATGTAAATGCATGCATGAAATGGGTTTTAAATTGCCAATGAAATTGCGAATCGACACTCTTCGTTTTTAGTTCAGGAAACGAGTTGTTGGTTCCTATTTTTAGGATACAACGAAACAAACAAACCAACAGAAAAAGTACCTAACAAGAGCGGACCGAGGCTTCGAAATTAAGAGACCGACCTAACTTTGTATACCTACATATATATACCTACCAAAAGACAAACGGAAGTTTTAAAGGGCCCAATCAAGTCGGATTCAATTCTGTCCATTCTGTTGACATTGTAGAATACACATTCAATTCATTAGGTGGACGTGGGGCGTTGGCTTTCTTTATATTCCTGCCTTCGCATCACAATCAGGAAGTCCTGAAAAATATATTTACATTAGACCGGCTGGCTGGATCGGATTTCGATTCCGGTGAAAGCCCTGTTTTTAGTATAGAAAATTGAAAACGGCGATTAATCAACCAGGCATTTGGTTGTTCGATGACTGATTAGGAATATCTTGATTCTGGATTTCCAATAGTTTTAAAAATTCCTGAAACTGAGTGATAGTTGGAAATCATTTGAAATTTTGTGCTCTTCATTGCTGACGCTTGGTCTACAGATATGCAAAATTACAGACTTCAATCTGCTACAGTTTGCGCGGTGTCAATTTGTCAACACAGGACGGTTCAGACAATTTTTGTGAAATACATACAGCTTAATTTCAAAAATTTTCAGTGATTGAATGAGGAGGGCAATTTGATGGAAATTTTGCGCACTTGATCGATAGCGCTTCTTCTACAAATGTCCCAATGTGTAACATTAAATTAGTGGTTTCCGAGTTGAATTTTTTTTAAAACAAACACCCACTTTTCACGCGTTTTCCTGAATTACAGCCCCGATTCAAAAAATTCCAGGAACTGAATGAAAACGGTAAAATGTAAAAAATGTATTGAAATTTTTCACTTTTGATACTTCTTTGAAGCAGCTCTGGTTTGGAAGTTGGAAATTTTTAGAAACAGACGCGCATGATTCCGGGGGTTTACTGAAGTACAGCCCAAAGTCCAAAATATCTCGAAGTTGAGTTAGTTTGAAAAATTGCTGGAAAATTTGCGTCATCAATCAAAATCACTTATTCACTAAGCCTTTTTAATCAAACTGCAAACGCCCAAAAATATAGCCCTAGCTCTACTCTGGTTTACGAATTCTAATTTTTTAAACACAATTGCGTACATTTTAGGCGGTTTACTGCATTGGAGCCAAATTTCAAAAATTGGGAAGAACTGACTGAAAACCGAGAATTACTGGAAACTTTAGACACGTCTTTACTAAAGCTTCAAGGGACGAAGAATTTTGCTTAGAATCGGCGCTGGTTTGAGAGTTGGGAATTATTAGAAGAAGACGCGCGCGTTGAATGCGCTTCACTGATGTTCAGGCAAATTTGAAAAAATCCAGGAACGAAGTAAATACGGGAAATTTATCAAAATTTCAGCGATTGGCAACTAATGCTTTTGCAACATAAGCAGAAAGCAAAAGCATAAGCAAAAAAAAAGAGTTTTCTTCAGGAAACAATGCAGCTTTAAATCTGCCCAGGGTTCGGAGTTCAGAATTTTTAAGAACAGAGATGCACGTTTTATCCATTTTATCGACATTCCGACGTACAGCCAAATTTCAAAATATTCCGAAAAGTGGTTCGGTCTGCGAAATCGACTGAAATTTTGGGCGGGCATTCAGTGAAGCCTCGAATAAAAATTGCCAAAGGTGTAGGCTTAAATTTTCTCGGTCTTAAGAGTTGCGAATTTCACAAGTGCGATCTGAATGAGAGCCGAAAATATTTTGCAACTGCGCGCTTAACAACTAATGACTTTGCTCTGCATGCGAAAAAAGGCAGACATAAACCTGTGCTGATTTAAGAAATTTAATTTTTTTTGCCATATTCATTTTTTTGGGCAGATTGCGGTCATTTTAACCACGTACCGCCCAAGTTACAAATTTTCCAGAAAGTGAATGAAACCGAAAAATCGCTTTAAAATTCTTCCTCATATTAAGTATGACTTTATCTGTAAACAGTTTAAAATGTAGCCGTAACTTTGCTTGGATTTAAAACTGAAAATTTTTTAAACACATGCGCTCACGTTTTAGACGGTTTACTGAATCACAGCCAGGTTTTAAAAAAATTTCAAGAACTGAATAAGAGCAGAACTTTTGTTGAAAATGTGTACACTAACTGTAGAATTAAGGCTTTTGTTCTACATGTGCAAAGATGCAGCCTTTAACCTGCGCCAGTTTAAGAGTCCTGAATTTTTAATCACAGAAGCGCACGTTTTCGCCGGTTTTTCCAAAGTACAGTCCAATTTCAAAAATTTTCGTGAAATGAATAACTCTGAGAAATCAATTGAAACTTTGCCAGCGCATTGACGAATGACATCTTCTAGATCGGTCCAAAAACACATTTTTAAAAACAGGAGCGCATGTTTTTGACAATTTACCAGATTAAAGCCCAATTTAAAAAATTTGCCCGAACCGAATAAAAGTGGCAAATCCATTGACATTTTGCACACTAATTAAATGAACGCTCTTCTGTAAGTCCTCCAAACTTCAGCCTTAATTAAGCAGTTGTTTGAGATGCAGTTCCAAGGCGAAAAGTCTTCTTTTGGTTTACGCAGTCCCAAGCATGTGTTTAGGAAATTTTGTCAATTTAATTACTTCTAGCCCTTTTATTTGGGTAAAAATCCCGTACTTTTCTAGGCAATCAAAAAAGCGTTGTGTGCTGATAAATTAAAGGAGAAAGCATGAAAAATGTGTCCTGACGATAATCGGTAGCCAAACCAACTTGTCGCCGCCCCTGCTGAAAGAACGCAGGGAAATATTGTTAAGCTATTTTCCTGGCGGCATTATAAGTTCCTGTCGGCCGTAAAGCCTGCGACTGAAATGTTAAGAAAATTTCTCCCTTGTGAATACGCAAGAAGCTTACACAAAATAAGGGTGGAAGCATGTTCCGTTTTCAAACTGACAATGCATGGATATACACGCTCCTTGCCCGACCACATGTGTCCTGCTGGATTTGCGGGATTTTCCGAATTCGCAGCGCGTTCACCGGGGGTCAAAAATGTGCATATTTTCTCGCTGAAAAATTCATTAGACGCAAGCGGGTTGTTGGAAAATTTTTCCCAGAATCAAACGAAAATTGTCTTCGTGACTGGTCAATAAAAAAATCAGCAAATAATCTGCGGTTCGCCCACTATGGGCAGCCGAATCGGATCGACGGGGGGGTCTTTTTGATGGAAAGTTGGGGTAGCGGCCCTGCGAGAATTGCAGACAAGTTTCCTGCGGTCCCCAAGGTTCGATCATGCAGGACGAAGGTTTTCCTCTTACTGGAAATGTATGATTTATTCGGGTGTCAGAACTGAGGGCGTTATCATAATTATTGGAATAAAATTGTTACGGATGATGGATCGGGCTGCATGACGAATCGATTTTATGTCAGCATGACCCCGAAAACGCCCTTGATCTAGTACTGAGTTGATTTTCCACTTCCAAAGCAAACGCTTCCTAATGAAGATGGTTAAAGTCGGTTTCCAAAGTGATAGAAGAAGCAGCGTCAGACCATACGCAAAATTAGATTATTTCGTGTCTTCATAAAACCATGTCCAATAAGTAATCATTCGGAAATGTTCAACCGTTACACACTTACTAAACTCAATAACCATATCGAAGATGAAATTCTCGAATTACTACAGTTCATTTTTTCGATTTCCTGCGAACACTCAATAGGCACCAGTGTTGAGAAAAAATGATGAGAAACCAATGTTTTATTGCATCACAAAGCTCTCCATTGATAAGGCCGTTTAAGCGAAATAATGCAAAAAATCATCCTTTTTAAACAGCGATTCGAATCGCCTTTTAGTACAATGTTGAATGAATATATAAATAATGGTACTTTGGTTGTATACAATACGGGCTACGTGATTTCAATTTTTGGACCTTTTTATTGTCTCCGTCCGTCTAGGAGACCGGCCAGTTTAAGTGATTTTTTTTAAGCAAAGCCGGAAAATATATGTAGCGTTCAAGGGAAAAACCGACGAAAATTTAAATGATTATAATTTAGGAGGCATTTCACGCCATTTAATTTTAATGCCACAGTTGAACAATAGATTGCGGAGCCAGGCCTTTGAGAAATGACACCATTAATGCTAAAATATGCGCGTGTTTACTCAAAGTTGCGTTTTCCTTACTCATTAGTCTTATGCCAACTAAGCGAATCTTCATTTCTTTAAAATGAAAGGCAAAATGATGTTTGTTTCCATTTCATATGCCCATAAATTAAACAAATCAGCTTTCCGAAGGAAATGTGCCATATTTCACCTTGCGTGATCATTTTCCGGTAAATGGTGGCAACTTCTAATTAAAAATTACGAGAAGAAAATGAACGTTTCGCCTGCAGGAGAAACCTTAATAATCGGGTGTGGTTAACTTTGCAAGATTTACAGTTGATTAGCTAAAAATTCCGTTACAAAGTGGGAAATTTTTTTTTGCGCAATTTACGCAAGCCTTTGTTTCAGCATGAAACTCTAGGCACAATCTGATGTAGAAGTTGTGCCGAGACCTTTGGGCACAACACTGGTATTCCTAATAAAAATCCTGCGTTTTCCAAATCAACTCTTTTTTGACCAACTTTTACATCAAATTATGTTTATGGTTTCAGGCTGTAACGCGATTTTTTTAATGGGTCGATTGTAAAGTTGTGTCGAGCCCTTCGGGCACGATGCTGCTAAGAAAACTCTGTTCATGTGAAAAATCGCCTAATTTTAATTAGAAATATTCTATCAGCGTCGTACCCGAAGGGCTCGGCACAACTTAACAATCGACCCAATGAAAAGATCGCGTTACAACCTGAAACTGTAAACATAATTTGATGTCAAAGATGTACCAAGCTCTTCGGGAACAACACTGGTTGAAACCACTAGTGGAAATAAAGCGTTTTTTTGGATTAACAAGATTTCTTCCCTGAGGTCGTGAACGAAAGGCACAACTTTCCAATCAACAAATATCTATCTAAATGAATATCTAAATGAATGTTGCAAAACAAAATTTTAGATACTATTCGATGAAAGAAATGACAAATAAACGACCAACAAATAGCAGTGTTGCAACCAGTGGCGTCCTTACAGGTTTGGGCACAACCTCACATCAGACAAATTTTAAAGCTAACGCTGCAAAATACAACTCCAGACGCATTTTTAACTCAATATTGAGCCAAATCCATCAGATATTTTTGTTTCCGGGATTAGCCTCAGTTTGCCGCTTGTATAATAAAAAAATCAAAGAAAAACCTTTGCCGATTTTACAAAATTCAATC